ACACACACACACACACACACACACACACACACACACACACACACACACACTTACTCACAATCAATCAATCAATCAATCAATCAAAACCCTTTTTTGAAGTTTTTTGTTTATTTATTTTCAAATGTTGCATTTTTTTTTTTTTAAAACACCTCATTTCCTTGCAAAAAAAAAATCCAATTATAAAAAAAATACAAGTGTACTCATGGACCATATATCTCATGATAAAAAATGGCAAAAAAAAATTCTTGCTTTTTTATTTATTTTTATTTTTTTATTTTGTTTAAATCGATTTTAGTTTTTGATTTTTGAAAAATCATAAACAAAGTCGGATTCCAAAAAAAAATCTATATGGGTGTAGGGTTTTCGAAGCCCTACACCCCCATATATATTTATATATATATATATATATATTTTTTTTTTTACGTAGTTTTAGGAGTAAAAAAAAAATTAAAAAACCAGGCCACGGACTGGGCCTCATAGGCCGCGACCGCGACCGGGATTCTCGGCCGCAGCGGCCGAAATGCCCGCGGCCGCGGCCGCAGGTGTCACATAGATTACCAGGCCTTGGCTACAAAAAAATATCTGACGACTTCTGGCAACTTGACGAACCTCTGACAATCCTCCGACGAAATATAGAACAAAAATAGGAAACCGGCAAACCCTTAAACAGACAAACTAAAAGATCCCACCTCCATCATCGAAGGGAAGGACCTTATTCACCTTCCCAACTCCATCCTCGTAAGGGGCCCAGAGAATAGCTTATCTCAGCAGGGGGGAGGCACCATCATCACCTTGAAATTCCTTCCCCCCACAAGAATTTCAGTCTCCATCATCAAGAAGTGGACAACACTGCCCAATGCCAATCGCGCTAAAGGTCGCCCTCAACAGTCGGTACCCATTGGACAACCTAACTACCCAACGCCAATCGCATTTGTTAAGGGCTCCCCCTAGCTGGTACCCATTGACCAGCCCTATTTTACCCCCTCTCTATCCTTGCAAAGAATCCTTTGATGCCTTCCCCCCTCTACTTCAAAGCAAGAAAACCCCAGACCCTACGGGAGATTCCATTTGACCATCTCATGAGCCCCCTGATCAGAAGTCTAACGATAGTCTAACGAGTAGAATTAGGTCGAATTTAGAAAAAGCGCATATCGACTCAAAAAATGTAGGAATTCAATTACAGACAGGAATTAGATTTATACAAGTTATACTATTTAAGAAAAGAGATACGAGATAATACGAATTTAGAATTAGGTATTCAAAAAACGATATTCATTAGATTTCGAACCTCTACCATAGAAAAATTAAGAAGGAAATCAAAGATAGATCAGAAATATTTGGAAAATTTTGAGAATGACACTAGAGAAAAATGATTATGGAAATTGAGAATTGAGAAATCCTTGTTGAAAAAATTCTAACTACGAGTTCCAGATTATGTTTCTTGCTCACGAAATATAAGTATTGAGGAAAATTTCATCCTGAAACCATCTGAGAGAATTAGAAGGACACTAAGTGTAGACTGATGCAACGTGGACTAATACAAGCAATTATGTATGGGAGCTCTGAAAAAATCAGAAAAGAACAGCCCCAAGTCAGACATCCAAGCCATGCGTGGGCAGAATCCTAATCCAATAGAAAGAAGTCTCCCATCCCTTCTTCCAACAACCAAACCACAGTTACCTCGCACCCCTCAAACCCTACCCCTGCATCCTTGGGGAAGGAGAACTCCTTTCCTCCCACAGCCAGCATCTAGGCTCAAAGCAAAGCAGACACCAAAGACATGGTCGACCATCTTCAATCCCCCGAAGAAAATCAAAGACGGTGTGACACCCCCTCGCCAAACCTGTTGACGAGTTGCCACAGGGGGTTCAAAACTACCTAAACTATACTTATACCATACTGTTGAGGAAGAAGGAAGGGTTTTCAACCAAGGATGACAAGCCCTAACCTAGTCCGACGACTCCACACCCCCGGCCTATCTGCCGCACCCTCCTCCCCCTACCTTATTACCCGTGGATGTTCCCTGTCACTGCCCAACATAACCCATCTCCTATACCGTGCGCCACCATATCCCACCGTCCACCTTATCGCCAGCTCTCCCGTACGTGCCCTTCACTCACCTCGCATCCTTGCGTCTCCGCCCATCGCATCGCCTGGCTCTCCGACACATCCCGCGTCACGCTGCTTCGTGTCTGAAGTTGCTCCGGTGGGGGCGCAGCGCTCCCGGTCGCGCTGCGCCCCAATATGTGCAGTATGCAAAATGCACCAAATACTCGGTTGGCCTGTTGCCGTAGTATCGCTGGGAGATGATGTCGCCGACCTCCCGAAAACGTCTCCTGGGAAAATCGTCATGTTCCGCTGGCATGTAAAGAGCCAACTTGGAGCAATGAAAGACTGGGTAGACGGGCAAGTGGGCGGGTACTTGAATCGTGAAGGAAGGTCCCTCGGGTGCGTCCCCAGCGGGTGCTATGATTGGCCAAGGCCCCATCCATTTTGGGAGGAGCTTGCGAGAGATGTCTTGTTCAAGGCTGAATTCCGCAGCGGAGACCCAAACAAGATCGCCGACGCGGAATGGGCAAGGAAGACGCTGGCGATTGGTCTGCTGACTCATGCGTTGCTGCGTCTTGGCCATCTGGTCGCGTGCCTTGACAAGTAACTCTTGCATTCGACGCAAGAAAAGAAGATGGTCGTCGCTCTCGACCGTTCGTGGAGTGATAGTGTCCAACGGTGAGGTGATCGGCGAGCCGTGCTCAAACTCGAAAGGCGATATTTCGATAGCCGGGTGGATGGAGGAGTTGTAGGCCAACTCGACATTCGGGAGCCGCTCAACCCAGTCCTTCTGGTCCGGACGGATGAGAGTGCGAAGGAGAACCTGTGCGGTCTGGTGCGCCCTCTCCGTTTGGCCATCGGTCTGAGGGTGGCGAGCTGAACTGGGCTTGAGAGATGAGCCCCATCGCTTGATGAGGGCCAACCAAAAATCGGACATGAACCCAATGTCGCGGTCGCAAACGATTTCCTTGGGATAACCCTTGGTTCGAATTCAACCGGCGTAGAGAACCTCGGCCAACTCCGGTGCCTTGGCATGATAGCGACAAGGCAAAAACATGGCGAACTTGGTAAGTCGGTCGACCACCGTGAGAATCCCATCCACTCCGGTCTTGTGCTTGGGGAACGGACCGGTAATGTCCATGTCAATCGCTTCCCTTCACCTCAACAGGACCGGTAATGGTCGTAACTCACCGTACGGACGGTGGTTGCGGGATTTGCAGTGTCGTAACTCACCGTACGACAAACCTCACATGACTCGCAATAGCGCGTGACGTCGCCGAGAAGACCGGGCCACCAAAATCGCTCGCAAAGTCGGCCAATCGTGCGATTGACTCCAAAGTGTCCGGTGGCGGGAGCATCGTGGAACTCACCAAGAAGCCGTGTACACAAGTGAGGATCACTCGGTACGCAAAGAAGGTCCTTCCCCCGCATGTGGACAAGCAAGTACCCCTCTTGGATCCGGTAGTGAGAAGGCGCCGGATTAGGAGAGGAGCAATTCGAGTATTTGTCACGAAACTCGGGGTCAGCTTGGTAGCCGTGGATGAAGTTGTTCTGCAGGTCGTCGTCGATCTCGAAGGTTGAGTAGACCGCGGTACAATGATCCGGACATCGTGAAAGAGTATCCGCAAAACGGTTTGACTTCCCCGGAATGTGATCGGGAAAGAAGTCAAACTGGTCGATGAAAGCCATCCATCGAGCGATGGTGCTGTTGACGGTGTCTTGGGTCTTATAGAAGACCAACGGATTGTTGTCCGTTATCCATCGGAATTGGCTTCGACCAAGGAGGAAATGCCGCCACCGCTTGAGCGCATGGACGAAGGCGAGGAACTCCTTCTTGCATGCATCGTCAATGGAATGCACGGCGGGCACTTTCTTGCTGAAGTACTCGACCGGGTGCCAGTCCACACCATCATGTTGCTCGAGGACAGCACCAATGCCATAGCCTGACGCATCCGTAGTGACACGTGTAGGCAAAAGCGGGTCGTATATCCGCAAGACCTCCGCAGACAATAGCGCGGCTTTGAGAGTCAAAAATGATTCCTGCGCCTCCTCTACGAAGTCAAACGACCGATCCTCGCATTGAAGCTTGGTCAAGTGGGCCGCGATCTTCGAGTAGCCTTTGATAAAACGCTGGTAGTAGCCGGCGAGGCCAAGGAATGAACGAACATCCGTGACGTTCCGAGGCTCCGGCCACTCTTGGATGACTTGAGTCTTGTCCGATAGCGGACTGATGCCCTCTGGTATGACAAAATGGCCCAAGTATTCCAACTCTTGTCGGACAAATTCGCACTTGTCGCGGTTGGCCTTGTACTTGGTGTGGCGAAGCGTCTCCAACACTCGTCGAAGATGCCCAAGATGATCCTTCAATGTTCGGCTATAGACGAGAATATCATCTAAGTAGACCAACACGAACCGGTCCAACATTGCATGAAACTCGTTGGTCATTGCCGCTTGAAAAGTCGCCGGGGTGTTGGTGAGGCCAAAAGACATGGCCACCCACTCAAAATGCCCGTACCGCATCTTGAACGCGGATTTGTAACGATCATTCGACCGGATCGAGATTTGATGATATCCCGATTTCAAATCCAACTTAGAAAAATACTTTGCGCTGCCCAATCGCTCAAGAAGATCGTCGATGCGAGGAAGAGGCCCCGCATTCTTGACGGTTTGCGCGTTGAGCTTGCGGTAGTCGATACACAATTGTAGATCCTTGTTCTTCTTCCAGACGAAGAGAACTGGTGCTCCATATGGGGAGCTACTAGGGCGGATCCAGCCATTGGTCAACAAATCGTCGAGTTGTGCGCAGAGGACCTCAAGCTCCTCCTCGCTCATCCGATAGATGCAACCTTTCGGCGGCACGACACCGGCCTCAAGAATGATCTCGTGAGACATCGGCCGATCCGGCACCACACCGGTAGGTGACTCAAAGATGTCGGCGAATTCGTCCAGCAACCGCACCACATGGGGGTCCGAAGACAAGTCCGTGGATGACGAGGCGGCTACCTCGATCGTCCGTAGAAAACATAGGCCGATCTCCTCGGGCTGTTCGTAAGCGCATGTCGCCCGGAATGATTTGGCCGTCACCACTTGGCACCGAATCGAAGGGTGCGGTAGAGGAATAGTACACGCCACTTCCGCGCCGAAGGCGTCGCGAACGCTAAGAGTCCGACGATGGAAGTTGGTCGTGTGATCCACACTTGCAAGCCAAGGCATTCCGAGAATGATGTCGAAGTCCATGTCGAAAATATCGAACGTCACCGGTTCGCATGCATGAGGTGCGAAATAAACCGGTACGACCTTGATGTAACGGTCGAGAAGTTGCTGCGTCCTTCCATCTGCCAACTTGATCGCCGTCGGGTTTGCCTTCCTCTGAACTTGTGCGCAAGGCCAACCCTTTGCATAAAGGCTTGGCTCATGAAGTTGCGAGACGCACCGCTATCCAGCAAAGTGCTGCAGGACGCTTGCCCAACCTGGATGCGGACATACATGAGCCGTGCGTTGTTGTCATCGTACCGCTGCGTGCGAAACTAGACATACGCAAGGATGTCCCCCACCGCGACTTCGTCATCCGTCGGCGAAGTTGGTGGTGCATAGAAGGATAAGTACGTGTGGAGATGTGCGCATAGTGCTGCGCATTGTGGTCCTGGCAAGCGGCCCGTGGTCGGGAGAGGAAGCCATGCAAAGTCCTCGAACGTGAGCGGGTCCAATACCTCTATGTTGAACTCGCGCGCCGAATCCTGTGAAGAACCACTTGAAGACGATAAGTCGCCACTGCCGGACGGAGAAGATGCCGCACACACGTCTTGTCCTTGAGCTTGAGTACCCAGTGTAGGAACGAGCCGGGCAGCATAGACCTCAAAATAATACAAAAGAGGAGGACTATCGACTTCCGCGTGCGCCACGGAATGAAGGCCGGTCACTCGCAAAGAAACCGGTTTCGGAGGCGTCGAGAGTGTCGTCGAGTCACTCTCGACGGTGCTCAGTTTCCCTGTTCGCCCTTGCCTTTCAATGGGCAGGTCAGTGTCCCATGAAGATCGCTGTTGCACCAAAGGCAATAGTGGAATCTCGTGCGCGCTTTGAATGCTTGCTCGGAGATGCCATATTGGGACCATAGGGCTGGAGCTGCTGCACCGGGCCCGGGGCTAGATGCGGTGTGTGTCTTCGTCTTGCCGCGTCCTCGGCCTCTGCCGGGGCGGCCACCTTCCCGGGCGGCTGGGAGTCTGTCCCCTTCATTGGCAGATACGGCCTCACTGGTTTGGTCAAACGACGTTGCTGCCGTGACCACGACCACTCTTGGCCGATGATGGTCTCTGCTCGGGCTTGGCGTAGACGAACAGGTTCTTGGCCTCCTTGTTCGTGGTGATGATCTGCGCGGCCTTGTCAAAAAGTTTCGCCGTTGTCGTCAAGGTGTCCTCGACGTGAGTCAGGGCATTGCTTAATGTCGAACATGACCTTGAGATGAAATAGTGGTGGATGGCTTTGAAGCCCATCTGGATGTCTGGGACTGACGTCAAGCGTTGGTACTTGGCGATCCAGTCGGTACTCGGCAGTGTGCCTTGCTCGAAGACCATGAGCTTGTCCATAGCCTTGATCTCGGGCAGCTCGACTTGGAACCGCTTGTGCCACGCTGCCTTTAGATCATCCCAGCTGATCTTGGTGTGCAAGTCGCCAGCTACTACTCCGTACTTGGACAAGAGATTATCCAACCATGTCTGGCACGCGCCCCCCCACCGGGAGTACAAGTACGCGCGGTGTTTGTGTTCCTTGACGTAGTGTAGCTGTAGCGTGAGCTCGAACTTGCGGAACCATGATATCGGATCTGTCTTCGTCGAGTCGCAGAACATCTCCTGCCCGTCAAACTTTGGAGCTATCTCGCGCGGTTTTGAACTCGAATGGTTGGCGGCAGTGCAGATCCGCTGTTCCAACTGTTGCGTTGCGGTCTGCTGTAGCTGCACGCCGTCCTTGAGGGAGCCGACGTCCATCTCCAATGTTGCGAGGCGATCAGAGGTGTTGGAAGAACTTGCATCGGGGGCGGCGACAGGTCAGTGTTCCAGCTGCCGGAGGCGGCCTTGGACTTGAGTTAGCGAGTCATCGAGGCTGTGGATGTCCTCCTGCCGTGTAATGCATGTCGCGAGGAAGTCCGTGAGATGGGAGAGGAGGAGAGCGATCTTGTTTTCGCTATCCTCAAACTTGCCATTCTCAGCCTCGGTCCACCATTCCGCTGCCATTGTGAGCAAAGTCTGCTCTCTGCTAAATATCTTCTCACGACGTTGAATTCTTTCTTCATTGGCAGCCCTTGCTGCTGCCTCATCATGCTGGCGCTGTTGTTCAAGTGCCAGCATACGTGCCTGCTCCGCGTCCTCTGCCTTCGTCTTCGCTGCTGCTGCTGCGTCATCTGGCCGTTTCTTTGTTTCGGTATTCCAGGCCAGCATCCGGGCGTGATAGGCCTCGTCTGCTTCTCCGGACCTCTGGTCCATGACGGCTGTTTGTGAACGCAACAGCATAGACTGGGCCAGGGGCCGGCTGACGTGATATTCCCTACTGCTGACGTGACACTGCTGACGTGTCCTACTGACGTGTCCTGCTGACGTGGCCTGCTGACGTAGTCTGCTGACATGACCTGCTGACGTGGCCTGCTGACGTAGTCTGCTAATGTGTCCTGCTGACGCGGCCTGCTGACGTAGTCTACTGACATGGCCTGCTGATGTGGCAACTCACCAATGTCGCCGCAGGGGGTACCCGGAGACAGGTAGAGAAGATAGGGCGAGAGGTGGCAATAACATAGGTGGGGAGGGTGGGTGGGAAGAATCGCCCAGATAAGGAGCCACTAATAAAAAAAAAAGAAAAGTTTGAACTTTGCAAATTTTTTTTCGAGAAAAATAAAAATCCCGACTTCCATTCAACAAAGCGACCAACAAGGTTAGAGAAAAGAGGATAAACACAGCGATACTGTTTTTTGATTTTGAGAAGGCTTACGACCAAGTCAATTGGGACTTTATGGACGCAAGCATGGAGCGTATGGGAGTGGGACCAGTCTTTAGGAAATGGGTCCAAGTCCTATACAAGGACGCTTCGGGATACGTACAGATCAACAACTTCCTATCCGAAAGCTACAGTATATCACGCTCGGTTAGGCAAGGGGACCCGCTTGCTCCCTCGATCTTCCTATTTGTGATGGAAGCAATTGCTTCCTTTCTACGGAAAGATCCATCGATACACAGATTACCGGAGGTCAATGTAGGAACCCCCCATCATCTCAAGTTCCCGACAGTAATAATGTTTGCAGATGACATGACTGTTCCGATCAAAGCCTCAGATTCGTCCTTTATGGCACTCTCTAGGGCAATGGAAGCATTCAGACTGGCATCAGAAATGAAAATCAACTGGAGAAAAACTATAGGCTGGTGGCTTTCGGAGGACCCTATTCCTAATCTGCAAGGTCCGGAGGCAGACATGTCCTGGGACACGCCAGACACCCCCACTCGATACTCAGGCATCCTCAGGACGAGAAGGGGGCTGGCACCACAAATGGGCCCAAATATGCTAGCTAATCAACTGAACAAACTGGGGAGATGGGGAAATACATGCACCTCGCTGATGGGTCGGGCGCTGGCCCTGAACACCTCCGTCTTCTCCATGATGTGGTATATTGCGGCAGTATGGACCATCCCGGATGACTCACTAAAAGAACTGAATCGGGTAGCGAGAGCATATCTGTGGACGGGCAACCCTAACAGAGGAAACTGTATCCCTAAAATAGCCTGGCACTACATTACAAGGAAGCCAATTCAAGGGGGACTGGGGATTATAGACCCGAAATGAGAGACAAAAGCTCTCCAAGTTAAATGGGTGGTTCGGTTGCTAACAAAACCAGAAACGGCATGGAACAATCTCGCCTTGGACAGTATAAGGGTGTTAGCCCCGATCCCATCGCCAAGAAATGTGACTGGTCTATTCTGGGTAATGAACAAAGAATGGTCGCTGGAAAAAGGGAGGAGGAGAGGCAGAGGGGAAATATCACAGAACGCGGATATTCTTCACTCACCGTACTGGGCGGCTCTCATCCGGATTTGGAGAACAATTATGCCTAAAAAATCAAACAGACCTAAGTCTAAAGACGAAATATTGAGGCAACCATTGTTTGGTAATGAGTGGGTGAGGAGCGAGAGCGATCAGCCTCTATTCCTAAACCATAGGTGGCTCTCTTGGGTAAAGAATGGGGTTTGGACAATTGGACACSTATGGAACGATGACAGGAAGGACTGGATATCTGAGCAGGAGCTGAGTACCCTGCTCAAGGGATGTCACAGGAGAGGCCTCAATCTACAGTATATAACGGGGTTGGTCCCGCCAGAGTGGAAAGAGACGTTGAAACAGGGCAGGGAATGGAATAGTGGAGAATGGGGGGTTAAAATTCAAGAAAGCAGACCCTCTAGAGCGTTTCAATTTTCACATTTACAACAAGGATCGACCACCCAGGCAATTTTCACTTCCTTCCCTATCACGCACACAGTGAAGGGCATGCTGTTGGTTGTGAACGCTGATGTAGAAACCACAGTCATGGAATATTTCCTGCTTAGAAAAGTGAGAGTGTTAGGGGAGTGGCCTAAACCGATCTTCAGGATCGACACGGCCATTCGAGACCTAGAGTTCGACCCGGGGGAGTGGGCATGGAAACCAGACAAGGAGAAAATTATCAAGAAGCGCACCTTCATACAGGAATACACGGTTAAACTGGGGTACAAACTTATGCTAAAAGCGAAAAATCCTGATCCCGTCATCAAAGCAAGATGGCTAAAGTTATTAGGCCAAGAGGCGGATAAAATTACGAAGATCCCGTGGAAAGCATACAAAATGATCAGACCAGTCAAAATCAGAAGCCTTCAGTGGTTACTCACTTACGCAGCGTTACCAGTCAATCAGTGGTTGCATATCAGGAGGAAAGATTTTGCACCGGATAGTTCTGACCTTTGTAAGGTATGCACGGATAATGCAGTAGAGGATATAGTACACTGCCTAATATACTGCAAAGAAGCAACAGRCTACTGGGCGAGAGCATCCACCCTTTGGGATTCCCTCTKCACTTCCCCATTCCCTGAGAAACCCATCCAACTCCTCCTTCTGATTGACATCCCTAAGTGGCCACGGAAAGCAGAAAGGATCTGGTATGAGCTTATCAGGAAGACCTCCCTATGGGTCATATTGAAGGAAAGATGCAGCAGAACGATCGAGGGAGTTTCAAACGCACGGGAGAGAGTCTGGGCGGAGACAAAGGTTTTGATACAGGCAGAGATTTTATGCAAATGGAAGAGGATCAGACAGAAGATGAAGAGCAGCGGAAGAAGGCTAGAAGCAAGTTCATCAAGACGTGGTTAGTAGGGGGGGAAATTGCGGAGATGCGGGATGACCGCATATGCTGGAAGGAATGGCACAACTCTGCTTCCAGAAGGAATCTGGAACAGCGGAGCACACAACCAGAGCATGGAACCTCAGAGCCAGAGTCCTAACTGAGACAGCTCCGCTCTCGGGTCACCACTTCAGGCACACAACAATGGGGATCTGGTTGCAGACCGATAATAAATACGAGTACGGGGGGTTTCTGAACATGGAGCAGGGTTAGGGGACATGGACAGAGATGGAATCAAAGGAAAGACGGAGGTCGGTGCTCGGCGGACACAATGAAGCTCTCAAACCAAGGAACGAGAGAGTGAACGGAGGAAAAGATGGACAAACCTTGGGAGGGAAAGGAAGGGAAATGGTAGACATAGGGATGGATTGTGGGAAGTCACGGGTCAGACAACAAACGACATAATTGCAAAAAGACGAGATGCTGCGGGAAGGAGATTGCAACAAGATACAGGGCCAGAAACAGTAAGGATGATATACCGGAACTGCTACAAAGGACGAGGTTTCAGGGTTTAGGGTTTTAGGGGTTGCTCAGGCAAAAGGAAAGGCAGGTGGAGTGGAAAGGACTCGGATTGATAATGACAATAGAAGGTCTTTTTCTAGGTTAAATGATGGAATCTGGCAGACCTAAATTTTCGGTCCGAGAGGAAAGAGAGGGAATGGGCAAGCTGGCAGTCAATCCTCCGCTGAGATGGAGCAATCAACGCTGTCCAGGGGTCCTTCGGCCAGACGGAAGGATGCGTGCGTGAGTCCCAATGATGTATTAATTCTTGACTTGCCGGTGGAAAAGGAACCGGACTGACGCTCCCCAGAATAGAATGGAGCCGGGACCATAAGGCCCCGTTTAAAAAAAANAAAAAAAAAAAAAAAAAAAAAAAAAAATCCCGACTTTTTCAAGTTCAGTAGGTCTCCCAACCTCCCTTGAAGTGCGAAATGATCAATGAAAGAAAATTTTCGACTTCAGACTGCAAATGATTTATCGAACTGACTAACAGAATCCTCAAACTGCGAAAAAAAATTTCCGAAAAGAAATGACAAGTATTCGGATTTACTCAGATGAGAGTATTCGCAGTTTGGAAAATAATACCTGCTGGAGGGATTTCCCGTGCCGTTTTCAGAAAAACGAATTTCGAAAAAAAGATATTCCGAATTTTTTAAGTAACGGGAAATGCAACAAGAAATCAAAATTTTTGAAAAGAAGGATATTCCGGATTTTCAACAACGAAATTTCGAAATTTCAGAAGGAAAACGAAAAATGGAAATTTCAGATGTTGCGCTGCAACAGAGTAACGAGAAAACAAAATCCAAGGAAATGATTTTTTTTTTTCGATTTTCGGCCGTAAGGTCCAAATCGTGATTTTGGGGGCTAATTAGTGTGCTCTTATCAATCAATAAGACTAATCAGCTACCTAGCCCCCGCACACGTGTCAGATCAGGTTTGTCCTGATTCACGTGCGGCTTTCCGATACCAACTGTTACATGCCCAGATGGGCGATGTACATAATAACCGAGGATCCACAATGTGATAAAAAGGACTGAATGGACAATGCAGTGCAGGTAGAATCTCAACAAGCAATGTGCATTCTGATACATACAAATGGTGCTGAATAGCGCAGTGGAAGATTTAGATACAA